TGCTTTAAAAAAATCTATTTACAAGACAATTGTTTATAATAAAATTCTATTCACCGATCGATAGACTCATAACGATTGTAAGCAATGTTTTTGTTTGAATTTGGGTTTGACCAATTCAAAAAAAAAAAAAAAATAATTAAGACATGCGTGTCGGTCAACCTTAAACAATAATCTTTGTCAATTTTATTTTTCAGTCTTTATGATGGTCGATACTTGATCTATCTCTTTATTGTTACATCCCCGGGCAACGCCGGGCTCTACTGCTAGTATATATATATATATATATATATATATATATATATATATATATATATATATATATCCTTTATTTCATTTTTCAACAATTTTTTCCAAAACAATGTATTATAAAAATTAATTTGATTAGACAGGAATGCATCAAGCTAGGTTTGAAACTCGGAGAATTTGGTGTCAGCCAAAGATTCTATGATACTGAGCTATATTCACTCGGCAGATTGTATTGTTTACGAATGTAAACAAATGCCAATCAGCCAACGTGTTCCATTCATTTTACTGAAGAGTATTGCATTCTTTGGATATGAACTGTTGGCTGATATAAATTAACTTATCACTCAACTGTGCTCAATGGAAAAGATAGATAGATAGATATTTTTGTTAGTAACAAACTATAATAAGCTGAATGAATTTTTCGATTTTTATTCCAATGACCACCTTCTATTCAAGAATTAAAGACTAAATAAAGTGTTCTAAATTATTTACTATTGTCTTTGGATATGGTTATAACACTGCTACAAAAAGACGGAGCTTCCAAAAATACTGACAACATAATGGAAAATTTATGAAATGATAATATTTTTTAATGTCTTACTGTGAATTGGAAAAAGGTATTTAAAATGCATCCGGTACAAGTGTATAATGTAAAATCCAGAAAAATGAGTTTACCAATTCCTTTATCAATCAGCAAAATTTCCGAGCTAAAATTAAAACGAAGCAAAAGACCAAAGGAGACGCAGTACCAAAAATACTTTTACATTTAAAAAAATGTAATTTTATAGATCTATTTTTTATGGTGTAATTTTATAATGTAAAACCAGAAAAACGATTTTAAAATTCCTTTATCAATAGCAAAATTTTGAGCTAAAAATTAAAATGCAAAAGACCAAAGATAATTGACAGACGCAGTACCATTTGAGGACTAGTTTATAATACATTAAAAATTAATCATTTTCCCTAAATTAACAAAATGTTTTTATAAATATAATCTTTATATCCAACCTAACGTCATAATCATAAACATGTCATAAAAATTTTAATGATGTGTACACAGCGAGATTCACCTGCAAAGTTAATAACCTTTTCCAAATTCGTCAGCCATTTCTGTTTCTCACAGGTGTCTTGTTTGTCTAATGTCTAAGAGAATCGATTACAGTCGTCCCAGGCATTAGGTAATTTAGTTAGTCGGAATTCGCGACGTCAACACATTACATATTATTGCTAAGACAGTAATATGTAATAAAATTAAGCACACATCACCCAGCAGTGAATGAACATGTCTAATTAGAATTCTGGGTAAATATTCGCCATGAATGTGTTGCCATCTTTCCATCTGTCTTCAAGTTCAAGCATTGAAGTTTTCATTTGAATTTAAAACAGTTTTTAAGTATCTGGAAATCTGACAAAGAAATCAACCTTAAGTTTAAGGTTTTCATACTTTTTTAAAAGCTGTTACAAAAATAATATAACACCTTTATCTATAATAATTTTACGCAAGAACAAACTATGAACTACGACATTTTCATTGAGATTATGCTGGAAGAATGTGATGAGAGAGTAAAAAGGCGGCAAACCAAGCTTTTTGTTTAATTTGAATTAAATACAAGGTGGGGGGGGTCATCAAGGTAGGAAGCTCATTGGTTGGTAGTGAAGTCATTGACGCATACAGTAGAGGCGATGCAAACATTTACACACTATCAACTTTTGTTGTGATGCTATAACATAAATTTGAATAAATATTATTACTTCTGCTCGGTATTAAGCACTCTTTCAAGAATAATTGTAATTTTATTACATGTGTACCAACCTGTACTTGTATATATAGTCGACTCTCCCGTTGAGATTCGACGTATGACGGTCAAGCAGATGAGTTCCCAAGAAACCGACAGCCCGACACCGGCACATGAGATTTGATTATAGTGGTGAAGGCCTCGTGCAGGACCATCCACACTTTTTGAAGGGACGAATACAGAAACCTGGTGCACTGAATGCCACAAGGTTGCCATCCAAGGCTTTAGAACCCAGTCTGTCCTACTATTTTACCCATATATATATATATATATATATATATATATATATATATATATATAGCAAAAGTGAACATATATAAATATAAAAATTGACATATTTGTCATTGTTTAGAGCCTCTTTTGACTTCATTTCACTAGTATTTACACATTCTATCTCTGATATTGAGCACTTTATCCCATAAATATAGCACACCTTAAGACTATATTTCTGAGAATCTCATTCTCTATATATATATATCTATCTCTCTCTCTCTCTATATATATATATATATATATATATATATATATATATATATATATATATAGAGAGAGAGAGAGAGAATAAAGAGAGAGAGAGAGAGGATTAAACACCTATTTGTATACATAAATTCGGAGGACGAATATTTTCTGTGAAAATTTTCTCTGGCATAGAGGCCGGTAAATGCTGTTTAATACTATTTATTATAAACAGAGCATTTACTTAAATATTTGTATCTATAAAAAGAATGTATAAGCATAAAAATGTCTTAAAATACTAGTCGGAATTTGTCCATTTCATAATATATATATATATATATATTCTGTATTTCTCATTCTCATATATATATATATAGAGAGAATATATATATATATATATATATATATATATATATATATATATATATATATATATAGAGAGAGGGGGGGGGGAATATAAAGTGATTAATACTTTGTCATCGTTGGATCTGATAAGTTAATTTTCACCTCATATTAAAATATCTCAGAGCATTTTCCTTACACTTAGTTTTCTTTCATTTCGACATAAAGAATTCGAAACTAACAGAAGTCGGCGAAACTCTTCTTTTATTTCGGATACTATTATATATCGTACACACACATCTCGTAAGGATTGTCCAACACAGAAAAAAAAAAAAAAAACCTTAAAATTAAAAAAAAAATTCTATCCCGAGCCGACCACAAATGTTAATATCAATGTAAAGTAACACTTACTTTTAACTGCCGTATGCCAAACTGTACATATAACTTGGATTTAATTTTTAGATTTATATCTATATGGCGGAAGAAAACATTTGCCAACGTATACGCAGCTTGCTTGATCAAAATCAATATATTCCCGATAAAGAACTACGTAATTAATTCATTATTTGTGAATATGTCGATAAAACATAGTTGTAATATGTGTTAAATACATTCCGACGATTCTTGAATTACAAATTTCTAAGCCTAATGGTAGCTTAGATATGAGCACAAGGCCCAAATTATGGGGTAACCAGTGAGAATCGAACTCTCGTAACTGTTCTAGAGAACCGTCGTAATTGTTCTAGTGAGGTAATTTTCATAAACATTACACCACCTCGAGGTGCAAAGTTATGTCATAATGAATCAAATTTGACGTTTAGAAATTAAGGGTGTTATTCACGACTTATCATTGAAATTCAAATCTGGTATTATTTTTTACTCAATATGTGCGTTTTACGCAAGGTTCCAATTCTGTCTCTTATTTTTTGGCGATAAAGAACCTTTGCTTTTCTTTCTTTGCCTTAACTGTGGCAGTCATAATGCAAAGCATATTTTTCTTTGGTTCTGCACGTAAACTTCATATTACATATCAGTACTAGGATGTACAATAGCCCTGACTGCTACATAAACCGTGCAGATCACACCGGATATTGCTGAAAGAAAAGGCTGACCCTGAACATAATTGGTGCCTATTTCTAAAGAAAAAAAATCTGTAAGCATCATTTAATTGTGCTTAATTGCATTTTATTCTTTTTTTTTATTCACCTGCAAAAAGATTATGCATAAGATTACCTTATACCTTATTTAGAAAAAAAACCCAGAAGTATTGTGATATTTGCTGTACGAATAACAAGTGCATTTGTGAAATTTGGTGGAAAGTAAAAAAAAATTAAAAAAACATAACGAGGGGGCGGTGAGTTTGTCACACGAAGCATAAGGATAGTGATGATATACACCTTCTCTTCCTATTTTTAGTTATTTTGGTATTTTTATACAATATATTTTTAGAGATTCTTGATCAAATCCCCCCAAAATCTGAAAGGTTATTGGTTCTGGTCAGACATCCAGGCTTTAGTCACATTCCCTACGCCGTCATGTCGCTACCCTGTGCTTTTCTATGAATGGTAATTGTTCTGATGAATATACACTGTATGAATTTCAGTGCATTAGTAGATTGGCAACAAGTTCTCGTCATTTTACAGTTGGGCAGGCTAGATGTAACCGTAAGTTCTTTTGCTAACAGCTTTTTCTCGCAATGCCCGCCTGTGAAACTCTCTTCCGACATCATTCTTTCCAACCAGCTTTGATCTTCAAAAATTTAAATGCAATCTTTATCTACTTCCTTTTATTGTTCTCGATCCTTAGTAATATTGTTATTCTTTTACAGTCAGTAACCACACCTTGTGTTTTAGCGGTTTTATTGCATTGCATGGGATGGAAGGATTTAAATAAATACATACCCTGGAATCATAGCATTTCCTGGCCAAAATCTGTCGACATATACCTGGATAAAAATAGTTCAGATTCATATATTAAATCGAAGTTTGCTAAAGATTTATTACATTAATAGTAAGAATCTGAAGAAGGATAAAAGCAAATATACAGGTAAAGCTGTCCAAAAACTATGCTGTTTTTTTGTATATCTTAATATGCAAACAATTCGAGAATATGTATTTAAACTCTCGAAGCGTTATCCATTGCAAACACGCACTTCCAAACATACAGCACGTAGTATTTCTAAGTGGTCACCCATCTAAGTACTGGCCAGGCTTGAGGTTGCTTAACTTCGATAATCGTACGAGAACCGCTATTTCAATATATCTGCCATAAGTCGAAAGGAAGAGGAAATACGTGGTGGATAACATATGGAAAGAGAAATGGAGTGAGGAAAGCATCGACTAATATACCTAACAAAATGAAGAGCAGAATTAGGGACTATGGTGTAAAGACAGCCGTTACTAAGAGCTACATGATCTTACATGCCATGAAGGGACACGGCAGATAGAAGAGGGTTCGAGTGTTATGGCTTATGAACTACGGCACCAGAGGAGTCCACTACATTTTCTAACAATCTTACTTCAGAAACTATCAAGACTACATAATACTGTTTTTATATATATATATATATATATATATATTATTTTCTTCTTGGTTATTGTGTAAATGAAGAGCAGAACTAGGGACTATGGTGTAAACACGGCCATTACTAAGAGCTGCATGATCTTACATGCCATGAAGGAACACGGCAGGGTTTGAGTTAACAAAACACTCGGGGTTGCTATGGCTTATGAACTCCGGCAAAAGAGGAGTCCATTATATTTTCTAACAATCTTACTACAGAAACTCTCAAGACTAAATAATACTGTTTTTTTTTTTAATATTATTTTCTTGTTGGTTACCAAATATCGTCTTCGGAATGAAATAATCCTGCGAGAATCTTATCATCTCCGCATAAACAAGCACAGAGAAGTGTATTTCTGGGTCAGCCAACCTCCGGAAAGGCAAATGGTGTCGAATTCGAGGCTTGGACTTAACCATGGAGGCTTGTTGATGAAATATTCCTATGCTGCACAGCTCTGACCTAAACCTGGGCAAATATTTTACACCTTTAAGACGTACTTCTTTCACTCATTGCAATGGTCATGACAGCTACGACATGAAGCGTGCAGTTCACACCGTACATTGGTGGGAAGGGACGTCAGAGACTGAACACAATCGATTCTGAGGCCGGTATATCGTCCTTTTCAGATCGCCTCTTTTACGTCAACTTTGGAGCTTATCTAGGATACTGGGTTGATAAAAATATACACAACAGAAATAGCCATGAAATGAAGAGTACAAGCCGCATAAATATGTGGATATGTATTAAACCAATTAAAATAGCTATAGACAAATATAGAGGTTTAATTAGTTAATTTTATCTCTTTGTTGTGTTGACGTGAATTTTTTTTTTATGGGAGCACACAAGAATCAGACTTATTACTTATTTGTAATAGTCAAACAACTATCATTAGCGAGCAGCCTGAAAATTCTAGTTCATTCCCCCACTCATTCGTTCGTTTTTCCTTGACTTGAATGTTTGTAAATCCTTCCATATATAACAGACATATTTTCATTACTTGTAAATTTATTCTCCGACGTGTGAGGATGGGTTTCGTCCTTATAAAATGTTATATTTTTTAGACGATCATTAAGGATGATTGAAAAAGTATGTTAGTTGTTTTAACTAGTTTAAAGGCATTATTTACATTATTCGGACTATTGTCCTCATCTTTGTCGCCATATTTATCATAACGTTTCGGCCGTTGTACGCTCCGGTCTTCTTCAGGTGGCTGGAATTTCGAACTGAACCCTTTATTTCGCTCACTGGGGTAGACTGTTCTAGTTCCACATGCCATGTTTGACGGATGTCAGTTATCAGTTATCTCCTGCTAATTTCCCTCTGAAAGTTCTCCACTGACTTAACCGGATATTGAACTCACACTCTTTGGGTCCTGTCACTGGATCTAATCAACGCCTTTATCCACTGTGCCATGTGTCCTTGAGGACATCTGGGTATGAATTTCTGGATGAATTAGTTTAAAGGCGAGCAGATTTTTGTAAAAGTATTGAAAATATCAGATGTGTTGTTAACATATATTTACTGATATATAAATCTCACCAAATATTAAGCATGCTTTTAAAAACCTATCATGAAGGCTGAGATCTCTGCCTTCATATGCTTGAGTTTATATACCCGCCTGGCCATTTCTATTATGTCATTAAATATTTTATAAAATACATCATTGAGGTCATGATATTATCACGCCTAATATGCGATATATTAAATGTGTTAACCTGTCCAATAGTGCTTTCTGATGCTAAAATATCTCGTTTAATATGTTTTTTTCTTCATTTTGTACCAGAATGAATTTCAATTTTTTTATTTACTCTTATACAAGTATCTTAGTATGTACTATTAACTGTTATCTTAAATTGATTATTATGTTATGCTTTCGTGGGGGATGATGATTAATACATGAGAATAGCATCAATTCTTGAAAAATGACAAGGTAGTCTGCGCTCAAGAGTAGTGAATGGGTAATCAATATATACAATTATTTCTTTATTACATCATCTCCCTTAAAGCGCATGATCAGTTTCGACCTTACTATACCGTCATTGGCCAGCATTAAATAATAGTCGGGGATGAGACGACCGTAATAGTAAAATAAAACCTTAATTTCTCAAGAATTCATGAACCACAAATTTTCTGTTACATGTTGATAAGGCGATACGTAGTACAGATTTTCCAAGCGTAGCTTAAAAGCGGCACAAGGCCGAAAGCATGGGGTGTCCAGTGAGGATCGAACCCACTCTTCAGTAGTAACTGACATAGCAAGACAAGCTTGCTAACAATTACACCACGCCGAGGTGCCCAAGGCGATACGTAGTAAACTGATATTAAACTGATGTTAAACTTGAAGATAAAGGAAATGAATGGAATTGAAACCATGTAGTTTAAATCTTTTTTTTTTTCATATGGCAGGTTCACATTTAAAATCATGCTGTTCAAAATCAATAAATCCTGTTAGTGTATAACAGATGGCAATTCTGTCTTGCATACTGATTCTTGTATTGCTTTGTCCATCGTACACAGGTCTCTTTGTGTTGTTTATTTTAAAGTGGCAGTTTGGTTGCTTTCATGTCATTCACAAATGTTCTCAGTAATCCCTATGCACTCTCTATTTACTTTCGAAACACCGGATCCTGCAAATATGTTCTTGCGGGCCAATATACTTGTCTAGCGTCTTAACCTTTTAACTTTCTCTCTAGATTTTTGCCACTCTTAACGCAAACATCATTTCATATTTTTTTTTACTATTTCTTTTATCGTTCTATGATCCGTTAAACGTTTTTACATTTCCAGCCTCATGTCTCCATTACTTCATTACTTGTAAGTATCTAGTCTTTATTCTGAGGTTATATTTTCAGAGCATCCTTATAATATCAAAAATAGTATATACCTTTAATTTCATAATGGCGAACACTCATCGAATTGCTTAATAAATTCGCACGTCACCATTTAAAAAATATATATATAAATGTCCAAATATTCTCACTAATTCTCGAATAATGGTTGCACACGTAGTGCTTTGAGTGTCTATTGGGACTCTACTTCACCCCAGACATCAAATAGAATATATACGACCCATCACTTAGGAAAATGGTCGTCTACTTATACCGATCCAGGAAGTAACTGACACCGCCTCCCATGTTCTATCTTGAGAATTCTAAGACCAGACCAAATTTAGAGGAATTGGTAACATATTTTTCTTGGAGCTGCCAATCCTGTTCCACGCCTTAATGTTTCAAATTTATCTGCATGACATTCACAGTTAATAACTGTCACGCATTGTGCGCTGAGATGAATGCTCTCAGTTCCCTGTGTATTTATTGCGTAAAGCTGAAGTTCCATTCTGATAGCTTCTTGCATAAAAATCGCTTCCCCGATCGCTATAAGCTTAACTTCTGCAAGTCTATAGTCAAAATTGTTATTGATGCGTTGAAATTCAGAGCAGACACTAGGTTGCTTGTCAGAATGCGTCTACTTCTATTCGAACGCTTGTGGCTTAAAGATGTGGAAAATAACTCTTTGTCCTGCTCGTTACCAACGGAATAAAACCATGAGACGAGACTGTAGGGTTTGGCAACTTTTATACAGTTGTAACATTCTGCTCTAGACGAGAGAGGCAGACGGAGTTGAGGTGAGTTAGGGAATATCTAATCGGCGTGCGCCTTTCTTTTTGCGTGTATCTTCTGTAAACGTCCTGGGAATGATGACAAACTATATCCGGCATCAAGGCCTCTGATCATGAAGATATGAGGAGTGTGGAACCATCTTTTAATTGCTGTCGTTCCCAGGTCCTTCTGTTAGGGTCCCGGTGATCTGGCAAATTGTAAATCCCCAAACTGAGGTCAAAACACTATGATTGTTAAAATATGTTTTTATAGTAAAATTTTTTTTTTTTTTAAAAATCGTTACAAACAATACATTTTTGAAAAAAATACTACCATTTAAAAAAAATATGACCAACAATATATTTGACTTCTCGACAAAAACTCTCTTTAAAAATACGACAATAAAACCTGATATACAAACTGATTTCTTGCAATGAATACATATTCTATTTATACAAACCTACCCTAAAAACCTTGGCGGCATTAAATAATCCTTTGAGCATGATATACGGTATGACAATACAGTATAACCTGGATATAATAGATTTGTCTGGACCGCAGACGAAGTCTCTTATATCCGGGTTTGGTCTATTTTATATACATTAACACAGGCTCTAATTTGGGACCAGAGAAAATCTCTCTTATATCCGGGTTTCTCTTATATACGGGTCTCTTATATCCGGGTTACACTGTATATATTAAACCAAACCATCTGTAAATTATAGATTTTATATGGATTTGCTATAAGACTTTCACTGATCACTGCAATGAAATGCCAACGCTATGATTTTTAACCTAAACTTAATGTGTAAATTCGTTTCTTCAAAAAACGATAAGGATTTGAAAAAAAATATTTTGTGTCATAGTTTTTCATGTTAAATAACAACTTTTAAATTGAGCGCAATAACACGTTTCTAAAATGTACCTACGCTAATGTACAAATCGTCAATACATTTGTAGCTGTTTAGGGAGAAGGGATGGATTCAAATTTTTCTAAGAGTATTTGCGTGTAATTGAATGCAACGAACTCGACTAGAATTCGAACTCCGCTCTCCGATTCTTCCTTTTATAAACGATAAAACGTCGAATACAAAA